GATCTAGCTCGGGCACGAGTAAGGCTGGCACGTTTGGTTTCGGAAACTGCTTCACCAGTTCCGTATGTGCTTTATCCTCCATAMAAGATCTGAAATAAATATCGATTAACTCCTTCAACTCTTTATCGATGTTCCACATGCAGTATTTACTGTTTGTGCTCCCGGATAAGGCAGGAATTTCGTCAACWATAGAGACCTTCGAGGCATGGCGCTCGGCCTCTTGTTTTGCCGCCAAAAGAGCTGATGCAAACGGATCATCAACTCCAGTATTGTCGTCTCTCGCTAATTTACGCTTCGGTTCCGAAGCATTTTCATTTYCAGCGTTWGAGACACAGYTTGGGGCCCTTAGGCTCAATAAACTGGCTTGGTAGGATCGCTTACGACCCAAAGATTSGCYCTCTTCGCTAGTGGGCGGTTGTGTTGGCACGATTGAGAAGCCGCTCATCGACAAACGCTCCTCTTGAAGAGCTAACTGATCGGTATTAGAGTCGTCTTCCACTGGTTAATCTTCTTCAGGTGTTTCTTTTGAATGTACAGAACCCGTAGGCTCAATAGAATTGTTTGCCAACATAATAATGAAGAGAAATAYGTGAAGCCAAAACTAAAAACACTTTCTTTCTCGTTCGCAAAGTGAAAATGGCCACCGTCCTAGTTTACGTGCATGGCCTTATGGGATGCTCTTTCCATATATGGACTAGTGGTCCTTATTTAGCCGCTAGTTTCGCGCTTGTTTTTTTCTTTAATAAATAAATAAGCTTTTAATGACTTTGGTTTTTTAGTTAGTTATGGCCAAGACCAATTAGTGAATTCTGAGTGCAACATGTTATAGAATCTTAGTGATTATTTTATCCAGTTTTGAGTGCACAGGRAACGAATTAGGTTCGTTCAGTCATGGGACACATTGTTTAGCGTTTATCAGCCAGGAAATAATTTGTGCACAGGAAATGAACTAGYGKAACTATTCTATTCGCCATAGTTCGGTAYTCCTTTTCATACTGTCGGATAGCGTTTCGTTCGTGTTCGGTTCTCAGTTCCGGCCTTCGACACGCTTCTTATAACAAGTTACACGTTTTACAGCCGTATTACACAATTTTGCACAGGGAACGAACTCGATTAAAACCTTTAGCGACAGAAAACTATTAGTGCACAGGAATTTTAGTGCTTATTTTACACAGATTTTGGTGCACAGGGAACGAATTTATACTAGGCTTGTTCAGTCATGGGATATATTGTTTAGCCCTTATCGACAGGAAGAAATTTGTGCACAGGAATTTTAGTGAGTTATACAGTTTTTAGTGCACAGGGAATGAACTAGCCTAACTACAATGGTTCGTTCAATTACCAGATGCATTGTTTAGCCCTTATCTACAGGAAATCGTTTGTGCGGAGGAATCTTAGTGTCTATTTTATACCGTTTTGAGTGCACAGGAATTCTRCTACAGTTTTGCACGATTGCACATGAAGTAAATTCGTTCAATTACGGGACGCTTTGTTTAAATTATTAGTGTTCAGGGTTTTGGTTGGTAATTACGCCACTTCCGATAGTTATAAATGCATGTTAAATGCATATTTCCTACTGACGGGTAAGATTCAATTGATGACGTCAAAAGAGATTGTATGTGTTTACGCATATATCAGAAAAGTCTCTAGCGTGAAATGTCAAGATTATGACCGTTTCCTGTTTTATTATTTATGTTCCCAGTACCAGTAAAAAATGTTAGTATACAGTGCTCTTTGTAAATAATTCCTTACTTTTTGGGGGGATTTTCGGGCGTGCATATAGCTAAAGAACCCCAGCGTGTCCTCAACCTTTCCTTTTTTTTTCCATTCTGATTTTTGGTTTATTTATTTATCCATTTATCTCAGTCATTTTTACACCACTACATCTCATGTTATCCATTATATTCATTTATTTACCACCTTTTATTTGTTTATTTATCCATTTATTTTTTATTTTGTCATAGTGTTTATTTATTTATTTATTTATTTATTCTGTTTTYCCCCCACCTTGCCGACCAGATGGGTAGCCTAAACAAAGACCCTATATCTGCCTCCGGGCGGGTCCTGGTCTGGCTTGGCGGGAAATTCTTCTCTCCCAGCTTCTCTTCTCTTCTTCTTTTCTCTTCCTTTTAGTCGTTCGCTTTTTATACATTACCCCCTGCACATTTTATAAGTTTTGCAGTCAGCCTTTCCGCAAAATAATATTGTGTGGTGTAACTGGGAGGGAAGAAATCMCAGCCTATCTGGACCAACCCATTCGTTGCGAGGTGCATTTTTAAAAAAGCATAAARATGCAGTTTTGGTTTCCTCGTCGACATTAGTTTAGTTAAGTTGTTTTGTTATTCGCAGTCATAAGATACCTACCATACTGTGTATGCATATTACATATACACTTGGACAAAGAAAACTTACAAAATAGCAAACAATAATAAAACAAGGAGAAAGTATTGGCCTCCTAGCATTCATTTTGAGGTAGAATGTTTCTTCGTCGTTCATCGAACCCTTTACTTTTAATTGCCCTTCGATATATGAAATAGGGCAAGTCATTACTAAACGGAAGTCCTCTCCTACTCCATGTCTGCATAATGAGCTTATCCTCGCAAGCAGCCCTTTCTCCGGGTAAAGAGGACCCCGGTAGCAGCTTGCAAAGCATATTCATCGACGAACTCCGCTTTCTTTCTGGTAAAATTTCGTATGTGTTGTTAGTGAATTCTGGCTTTTTGAGTTTTGGGAGAATACGTCTCAAATCGACTCTTGACCTATCCACCCCTTATGTTTACATGTTTTACCCTAACCCTAAGTTTGGTCGGCAAGGGCAAGCGGATGAGCAGGAAGCGATTAAGCGCAGGCTTCTCGATTTTTTCCCATATCTTAACCACGCCCAGTTATGAGCGGTTACATAGCGGTGAAAATGGTTTATACAATCATCACTATATCATATCATACAAGTAAAAAAAATTGTGTCGATGTAACGGTCACTCAGTTGTTGCCTGAAACGTAGGAAAGACGAACAATAAGAAGCCTGTATTGAGAATGTGCGATGACTGAGTATCGTTCTGGCGACGATATGATCCCTGTTCGAGTCCTGAACAGGCATCATATATATGGCTTGAGTTTGTTCGCTCTCTGCCCTTATTTTGTGGGCTTTCTCCATGTCATTCGGCTTTCTTCTTRCTCAGTAAAAGCGAATCAATCTAAGGTGTGCACCTTAAAATGATATGTCTCACTTGGTGGCTAAT